AATTGAATAGTGTGCAATTAGAACAATGGCTTCGTTTTATGGTTTGAGCTGGGATTTATGTTGCGGTGCGCAATTTCGAGGAACAAAGAAAATGGTTTTGGGATTCAAACCAAACCACGTAATTCCGCAGCGATCGCAATGATGGACAGTTGAAAAGATTGAACGGTTGCAGCCGCCGGTCAAATTAATTGCAAACCCGAAATTAATGAAAAATTCAAATTAACACAGCACACCTCGTATGCGTTTGCAAACTAACCAACAAATAATTATACAATAGAATTGAAATACTATACATTCTGTACAGAAAACAATTACGTTTCAAAGACAAACATATTTGATTAAAAGGCAGCTTCGTATTATTGAAATAAATTGATATCGGATATGAACAGATTCGTAAACTAATTTTGCTTTTTATAATACATCTTTCAATTTTACGGCCAAATTGAATATCTGAGAAGATTTTATGTCTTAAGGAACTCCGGATATAAGTAATTACATTAGACCTGATACAGATCCGAACGGGATTTCATTATCCCGGGAATATTATACTCATACTTTGTTTCTGCTTTTTGTTGATAATCTTTTGATGTTACAATATGGAAAGACCGGAGTGGAATCAAATTGTAAATCAAATCATGTATAATGCGATTTCTAAAAAAAATCTCCATGTTTTATATATATTCAGAAACATGGAAATATATTCCATTTAGATTCAGAATAATTACTTTTTAGTATTGAAAAATAAATATACTTATAGTACTTATTTTATAATAATGAAATTACGAAAAATAAAGCAATAATGTAGAAACTTAGCTTAAAATGTAATAGAACATCATCAAATATTAAATAAGACAAGTTGAATGCAATTTAAGTTGAACAATTAATTTTATATGCAGCATATCTGGGAAATTTATCACTTATCTATATAATAATCTGGGCATGCGAGAGTCAAATAAATCCGAGCGAGTTAAGTGGATTTACGTAAATGGAAACAGTGCTGAATTAGTTGAATTTCCTAAATGAACTTAAAACGAATGAATCTCTACAGAATCATTTCATTTGAGTTGAGTGAGCGAGTTGAGTTGAGTGAGGGAGGGAGGACGGATGGTTCTTGCAATTTCGAGATTTAAATTTTTCGATTGCACTGCATTCCCCGAAGACCGGAGGAAAGGGGTTTTCGTCGTCGGGCGTCTGTCTGTATGTGTGTGTTTGGGAGGATAGGTCTCTCTTCCAGAAGACGGCACGCCGGGTGCTCCCCAATTTGCCCTCAGCTCATATTTCTCCCGGGCGAGTTACGACCTTAATCCCCTTAGCCCTATCGCCCGCGATGGCTCCATATTCTGGTGGATGTGGGACCGCGGCGCGCCCCAACGACTTGGGGGCGCACTTCATAATTGCGCCTCATTCAAATGAATCAATTCGCGCGAAGAAGAAACTCGGTATTATTAATGGTAGAAACGCGTAAAGACGAATATCATCACAGGAATCATAACTAAGCAATTCAGTATAATTTATAGTGAAACTCATAAAGACAAATGTTATTATAGAAATTATAACTAAGGAGTTTTCAATGTTATTAATCTTTATTAATAATCAAGAAATTCACAAAATTAATAACATCTTTTGTGTTTAAAATACTTCAATTACTAATAAATAAACTAGCAACAAAACAAATATTTTTAAATTTAACTTTCTGATTTGGTAATTATTAATATGAGATCATTAATTATTTATATAATTGTATTTATTATTACATTAAAAAAACATTCTATAAATTATAATTAAATAATTAAAGACATTTCAGCAAAATTAAAACAAAAATATAAACTGTAAATTCTCTGTGACAATTTTAATTTATTTATATTCCTGATTCAAAATCGTATCCGTTGTAGAATTTTAATTTTAAATTCATGAAAGCGATAAAGTATTAATTGTGACATGACAAACGTTTTAAATCCATTTTTGAAATAAATATATTGATGAATGAAAATATTGCAAGGTTTTTCTCTAATTTGTATAATAAATATTGTTATTATTAAGAAATTTCTAAATATAGAAAAATAATTAATAAAATTCTAACAAAATAGAAAAAAGAAATAAACTAACTGCATATTTTGTGATTGATTTTACTTATGAACGATTGTATCCAATGTAGTATTTACATTCGTTTATATTCATAGATGAAACCGTACTATATAAACGTAACACGATAAACGTTTTAAAACCACTTTTAAATATGGATGAATAAAAATATTGCAAGGTAAATGAAATGCCCGCAAAAATGGAAGGATAAATAAAATAATAGTAAATGAAGGAATAAAATGATATTGCAAAATATAAAGTAACAAGGATGAAAAAGCTGGGTCGTTCCGTATCCGTTCACAATGTGCTTTATTAAGGATGTCGCGATGTTAAACAGACGTCGCGTGTGTTCCAATATCCGTGTCTGTTTCCGGTCAAAGGAACAACTCCCATTCGTTTTTCCGCCTTTGCACGTCCTCAAATTCCCCTCGAACACCTTTTGCGCAGAGGAATGTCGTCCGCGCGGAACGCCGACGAAACAAAGAAAGGAAGGAACAAGGACGAGTAATTTTCCTCGAATAATCTCGTGACACATCCAGAGCATCGGCGCTTTTATTGGGCTCCCCCTTTTTGTTGCTTTTCGTTTTGCTCCAGAAGGCAACCAGGGCTTGTCAATGTAACATCTTTTATGGAGAAGGCTTTTTTTTTTGCCATGTTGCTGTTGTAGTTGCTACACAACATAAATTCGCAGCGATCCCTAATAGATCAAAGTCTGCAGGGAATGAGTAGTAGCACCCGCATTTCCATTTTAAAAGAGATTCACATCAAATTTCTCTCGACTGATCGAACGGGATACCGTTTTTTGATGTATGATAAAGTAACTTAGACGTTAAACATACCGGTAATGGAACTTCTAATGTACAAACATACTCAACCATTATTTATTACCATATTAAAATCCATTTAATAGAATAAGTTAAATGAATAAATTTAAAAAAATATATTCTTTTATTTTGTAGTAAATCATATTTAATATAATAAATATCTATCACGAACATTAGTTAGACATGTTAAAGTATTTTTTGTTTACCAACTGTTACTCGCGCGGCATTTCGTAACAACTTTATTGAATAGATTGTGGAAAAATATAACATATTACATTCTAAGCATGTTTATTTTATAAAAAAGTAACAATTTTCCTGATTGTTTGTTTTTGTATGAATCCATTGTTAATTTTCGAAAATTTGTTCCATTTTTTAGATTAAAAACTTTTTACGATGATTCATTTTAATTTCACAAAAAGGGTAAGTTTTAATTATTAAAATATTATATATATTTTTAAAAAATGTAAAGTTAAATATTATAAACCATTACTCTGAAAGACTCTACTAAGAATATTTTGCTGTTAATCCTTCAACACATTACTCTAAAATGGCGTTATGTGCTTTTACAAATCGTCAATCAGTATCAACAAGGTACATAAGTTGTCCCATCTTTCCAGTATTAAAAGATACGATTGCTTTATTACCACTACTGTCTCATAGACGCCGCGCGATTATTACATAATCTGAATAACCATATTTTGCTAGTGTTTTATGTTACTGGTACATTCATACCACATAGCTAAATTGTTTCTTGTTTTAAACTAAAAGATGCGTAACGAAAACTGTATTTCAAGTTTGGCTTATTAGTTGCATAACCACACCACATAACCACTAAATGCAATGAGTTTAGTTAATAATAGTAAATAATGGTGATGAAAATGGCTTTAATAACATTTTTACCTAACTTGCTTTTTATTTGGGATTTTTTTTTATATATATTTTTTTGCATTTCATTTCTCGTACCTCATAACTGTTCACGATCGAACAGTTTTGAATAAAATAGTGTGCGATGGTGCATATCATACGCCGCATTTTTTTTTGCACCCGCGATTTCGTATTTATCCTCATTTCTCTCACCCTGTGTCGTACATTTTTTCAATATTTCACATCGACGTGTTGATGTGTCAATTAGCCCTGGGGAGTTGGCATTTAACACCACCGTGTCCTCCCTCTAATGCACTTTTGATGGAGACCACCCCCCAAAATATGTATATTTCCACAGCTACCCAAAAACCGAAAATTCCGTCATCGTTAAACCATCGATTATATCGGAAATACAGCGCGTCCCCATTATATGCAATTTAATCATTTTGTTTTCACGTGCTATATGACAGACAGCAGATATACTCCGGCTATGTGCACGGATTTTGCACAAAACACATACATTGGGGGATGAAAAGTGGCTTCCATAGGGGAAACGGAAATCTGATACACAATTCACCATCCCACCATGCAATTCGGGGATGGTTTTGTAAATATTTAAGTCGCGTTTCTGCGCTCGCATTATGAACCCTTCTTGTGCAAATACCGGGGCACGCAATAATGCTTCAATTATTTTTATGCAGCACATATTTTGCGACTCTATTGATGGCCATGTTTGCGCAGCTTCTCGTTCCTGACTACATCTCATATTCCATTGCAACAAAAGCGAAACACACACCATTCCCAACGACAAATTGAAAACAAAATTGGAATTTCATATGTACGACATATGCTTAAATTATGTTTGCAGTGCTATACGGATATAATCTAGAAAGGTAATAACCGGTAGCAAAGACAAAAAAAGCTCCGACTGAATGAGAAATACTCGAGTTTATTCTACTTAAATGTTTACATTTGGCAGATGCGCCGGGCTCACACATACGAGGTTTCACGTAATAAACCCAGCGGAATAGTCAACAGACATTCCTCTAAACGTGAAATAAAATTTAATTGTAGTATACTCCATTATTATTGCCATGGTAACAACTAAACTATTATTTTAATCGCATCTTCTAAAATATAATTGTTTTCATTTCTTTAACATTTGGTAAAGTTGTATTTTTTTCAATATTTTAAAAATATGTATAAACAATGCAATAATAATTAACTTACCTTATTTATGAAATGAAGATTCTAGCAAAATGATCTGTAACAAAAAATATATGATTGTTTAATTCATGTGATTTGTTTTATAAACAAGTGTATAATGAAATATAGTGGAACCTCGCTTAAACTTATGATCCGGATTTTTACTCGTATAGTGAAACACTTTTCCCATATAAACGAATGTAAAATACAATAAAGCGTTTCTTGACGGAAAAATAAAGTATAACTTGGTCTCGATTTTTAATTTGCTCGTTAAGTGAAAGGCTCCTTATGCGAGGTGCTCTTTAAGCGAGGTATATTAAACTGACTGCATATTGAAATTGATTATATAAGAAATGCATAAAAAAGAGATTGTTGTAGACATTTATTTTAGGTTACTTGGAAAAGAAAATACAAATTATAAAAGTAATTTAATTTCAAGCGAAAATATTGGATATTTGGACAAAAATATTGTACAAAATTGTAATATTATTCAGAAATATTTAAGTGAAACTTACGAGGTTAATAAAAATAATTAAATATACGCATAACAATGTAAAGAAATTTAAAGTTTAAATATATAATAATTACGTTAATTAAAACAAAAGTAAAAACAACTAAAATAATATTGAAAACTCCAATTATTAAAAATCATTACAAAGAGATACTAATCATAGGTTGAAACGTATATTAGTATAATAATAAAATATTATTTAATAAATGTTTTTTATTTATTTTATATATAATTTGATTATTGGTTAAAAATCAAAATACAAATGACCATAGGTCATGCCTAAAATATTTATATTAACAATTGAATTTACTATTTTATAATAGAATAAAAATGTTTTATATAAATTTATAAAACAAATTATAATCCGAAATATATATTTACCTCAAATATTATGAATTTAAAGCTGAATAAGCATAGAAAAGCTATAATAAAAATTTGCAGGATTAAAAAAAAATATTGGAATAGAGTCGGTATCGCGTTTTAATCCGTAATTGGTGTTATTCGGGCATGGAAAGTAATTTTCAATGGGAAATGGGAATTGTGCAACCGCCACTTTTATTCGCGGCAGTTGAGGTTGACGTGCATCGCGGCGCAAGAGCGAGAGCTTGCTTCTAAATGCCCTCAAAGTTCGGAAGCTTGAACGACCCTTTGAAAAGGTCCCGCCCGTCCTTTACTGCGGGCTCCGAGCTCTAGGCGAAACCCAGACATAACCTCGCATTTCGGAATGCAAACGCAAGCCAGATTCATTATGATCATTATTTGGTGGAAATCCGTGAATTTTGTATATTAAAGCGTGGTTTATAAATTGCTCGTTAGATATTCGTTCGCTCAAAGAAGTTAACGCAAGTGGATTGAAATATCAAGAAGCGGATGTTTTGTAAAAATACAAATTGGTATTTTAACGTTGGAAGTATTGCATGAATATTTGCATCAATTTAAATATAGAAATAGTATTTGATAGAATAACATAATCTGAATGTGTAACACATTAATTATACAAGGTAGAAAGACCTATGGTCAGTAACATTTTGTAACGATTTATATATTTTTTATTATGATTTAATTTATAAATACGTACGACTGTTAATTAAACATTATTATATTTGTTGCAGAAACAAAGTATAAAATGTATTTGAATATTGTGTTGAGATGTATACATATTAGTTGGTACGTCTAACATACATTTATGTTTCATGTACAGTGTGGACGCACCATTATAATAATTTTTCAGTTCTCAATATATTGTCTTAATTTGAGATGGAATTACTGAATGAAAAAAAAAACAGCATTCATTAGAGAACGCTCGTAACGAAGCTCGGATGCAATGAAAATAATCCCTGCAGAAGTGGGCGAAGCTAAATTGCTCAACGACAAAAAGTCTACAGTATGCTGCTGCATTTACCACATGGTATGTATGCATCACGAGCAGTGAAATAATAAAAATGAATTACCCGACAATGATTCACCTTTTTCGTTCCGCCTTCCTTGAGGGAGGGGAAGGCAATTTCGTTAAGTAAAGGCGTCGAATGGAGCAGCCCATTTATTAGGAAAAGATATTAAAGATTGCAAAAAAGTTGCTCGTCGTCAAGGGAAAAGGATGGACGGAAGCGAGAGGATGCATTCTGCGCTTTTTATCGTTGCACGGGATTGCCGTTTTCCGTTTCCGGTTTTGACTCTTCCCGGCGAATTGAGAAATAGCCCCGTCCGGCAGTAAACCTCTTTATTATTACGTCGTCGCCTCAAGAAGCCTGGTCACCCTAAGAAGGACTACTTAAAGTATAGTTGTTTGCTCTCGATGTCGAACAGTGTTAGAAAGCGCACGCTATCTCTGCCTCTCAGTGTGTATACATGTAACATGTATCAGAGATTCCCAGAGCGTTTTGTTGCTGCTTTCAGTTCGGTTTCCTTAGAGGTCATCTTCAATGAGGAGGAAAATTAACGGGGCGAATAAAAGCAACCACCTCAATGCACTTTTCTTTTACTTGTTCGTTAGCTTCGAACTCGAAGTTCCAAGCTGGATCCTCTCAACTATCCAAGGATAACCAGTCTTATCTTACGATTCCCGTCTACAGATATGTTCTATTACGCGGAGAAAATGTGAGACTGTTAATTAAGTTTCATTAGTTTTGCGGGTTAGAAATTAAAATGCCAATCTCGGTCGTAAATCGTTTCCCGTCTAATTAATGGGGAATCGAGTTTTAATTTTTGGGATACGTCGAGGGATGAATACATTGGGTTTCGAGAAATTAACGGGTGGCGTCGCGACGCTCGCTGCGTCGTTGCGCAACACAAAGCGACATTACACGTCCTTATTAATTATGTCGCCGCTAATGGCTCCATTTTATACCGCATGGAATATCCATTAAAGAAATTTATTGGTCCCCAAAGCTATTCGCACATAAGGCACGACATCGAAACAACCAAACAAAACGAAATAGCAACATATAATAAAATATGAAAGAAAAACTAATTTCGTTGTTGTTTTCGTGTTTTATGTATTTCCGTTGTGATGTATGTCTGCACATTACCGATGAAAATTAATTTTCCTAAACTGAGTTGCTCAAACTTAATGAATAGTTGCATTGGAGCAGTTCAAGCTGCAAACGATTCCCAATTGCTTTCGGAATGCTATTACAAGAGCGTGTGCACTTCTTAATGAAATATCAGCCATTTTCCAGATGCTTTCTCTTTAAGTTTATAGGATTTCGTCAAAGCTATGTTAATTATACGTTTAAGCATTAGCAAGCCTATTCTCAAATCTTCATAGAAAACTAATATCATTAAAATTAAGTTACATGTAATTTACATTATCATTTAAGATTTCTATGATTATATAATTTAGTTCTTATTATATAAATAGCATCTTTCTGAAATATCTAAGATAACAAAATTTAACAATTATTTATTATCAACTTGAATTTAGTTTAAAGTAGATAATAAGTACAAAATTATCATTTATTATTAAGAATTATAATATTTATTGTAACAATAATAAAATGCAATATTAAACATTTTCATATAATAATAAAGCAAAAATTTAACTTTATTCCAAAGTTTGTTTTTTGAAATCTATATTATTCTTTTTCACTAATGTTTGATATTTAAATGCAAGTTACTTTTTTTTAATTATAAATAAGTTTTAACAACAAGTTTTATAACTTTATTTTAGTAATGGTTTTGTTGATAATTTGAAGTAAACTGTATTCAAGCTCTAACTGCTTTTGCTTTGATCCAGATGCATTTTAACCATTCCAAACAAAAATGCAGTGAACGTAACAATGAAATAGTGCAGTTGATAATTGATGAATGCACTCTTCGCCGTTTCGGCAATGTGAAGGATGTAGGTCATTCGAAACAGCTATCAGACCAAACTAAATTTAGTATTCATGAAAAACAAAGTAAAAACAGCAAAACAAGAGACTAGCCAACGCCAATTTTCTACCACATTATTATTTAAGCAGTTCTAGTTTTTTTTCTTCTTCTTCTCGTTTTCTGTTAGTTTCGCGTGCAAATTTTCTATTTTAATACTCCATTATTAATGGAGGGCCGGTCCGACGCAAACACAACTTACGTAATTGACGCTGCACGAGCAAGATTTAAATTGAATTAGTTATGTTGCAATTAATTTGAGCGCGCGCACGAACGTTGCAAGAAGAGGAAGAAAAAAATGAAAAAGAAATCCGAGCTTTGATGTCGTTCTCGATCGACGAAGTTGCAGCAGCTAGCAAATTCGTAAGATTCAATTAACAATCGCGAAAATGTAATTAGCGACGATAACTTAATTAGTTATGTTCGTATTGAGATACGCGTATATATTACACTTTCTGTAAAGAGACTTTTTTTTCTATATTTCTAGCAAAAGTTCATTAGGCACTTTGGTCAAATTAAGGTCAATAAAAATTAGTAAATAAGTAAATACAAAACTATTTTTGAATATCTTATTGCAATAATGTTAGTATTGTTATTTCCTATATTTAACCCGTGAGTGATTCGCATTCTATTGTAATTTAGTTGTAGTGGTTGACTTAACTACTGTAGTATTTTTTACTTCACTTTATGGTAGGAGCAAAGTGGTCGCGGTGAGAGGTAGTAGAGTGTATTTCGGGTCAAAATGACACGTCTACAGCAAATACGTTCTTGAAATATCATCAATATTTGGATTTCAAAGTGGCATAACTTTGGTTTCCCATGTACCAAAACTGAAAAAATCAGTAAATCTGATATTATACATTTCTATAAAACTGGTGTAGATGCAGTCGCTGGACCTAATGAACGGATTCCTATATTCAAAAGAAGTAGGTGTTTTTTTTTCAAGCAAGAGCGACAAGAAAACAGCAACGTTTTGTGACATTTGCAAAAGGCCAATTTGTTCTACTTGCTCAAAAAAAAATCCGTAATGTTTGAATTAATCAGTATTTGTTGTAAACATTAATAATTTGTTCTATTTTTTTAAATATTTAATATACGGGTCATTTTGATCTATAGGTAGAGCTTGTGTTTCATTTAAATGTCCGTATTAGTTACGAATTTGGTCAATTTATGTTAAAC